TATTATTTTATAAGACGTTTTGTCGTTTACAACACCCACTTCAAAGTATACTATTAATTATAACCCATATGCAGACTTCACGCACTTCCTCGGAGATAGCATAATGGTACAATGCAACAATGGTACAATGCAAGTCGTTGAAGTTCTATTGAGTTACGTAAACATTATCAGTGCTATTAATAATTAATAAACAAGGTTCATTGTCAGAATAAATATACGCTAAAATTACAATCATAGTATCAGTCCAAATTCATATTATACAGACAATAAGCAAACCTACTACCTTCTAGAAGCAAATATTACTCCCGTAGTACCTCGTACTAGGTAAAACTTTGCCAAGTCTCTGTTTAATAATATGAATTTAAACTAAAGCTGTGAGTTTATTAATAAGACTGTAACAGAATGAGGAAGTGTTTTAAGAAAAAAAAAGAAAGCACTAAAAAGCACTTCACAAGATGGCGACTCTAGCCGTGATTTTTGCAGGAAACGAATAGACCAAAGACAGTCATTTCCGTTCCTTTTAGCTAACATATTAAAAAAACTGAAGTTTGAAAAGTTCGAAACTTAGATATCAATACAAATACGAAAAAGTACAAATAGAATATGAGTTTTTTATTGAGTTTTGAAAATTGATTTAATTTTATACATGAAAGAAAACCGGAAGGGCTGTCACGGAGAAATCAAGAAAGTACCGTAGCGACATCTATTTTGATTTCGGGAACTTGTTTTTTTTTTAAATACTTCCTTATTGGTCTGCTGTTTATTATAACACTATGGATAACGCCATCCGATGAACTTTAAGCAACGGCTGATCAAATAAACCTATTTATTATCTATTAGATACTATAAAAATTTGTATTTAACACGTAGCCCATGGTAATATTTGTGGTATTTTATAATGAACTTGAAACTATTAAGCAGTTTTTGCTTGGTGAGTTGTCTACTTTTTTAAATTTGAAGTTATTTTTGAATTGCGTTTTTTTTTAAACATAAATATTTGCAACTTATTTAAATACTATTTATTTTTCCGCGACTTCTCGTATGCAAATTACACTATATTAATTTAATAGAACTCTATTAATTAGTTTAAAAATTAATAATTGTTTTAATGGTCACATACGTATGAAGTTAGTTTCTTGTAGGTGAAAAAAAAATTAAAATCTTTCTTTTCTTTATAATGAGTGCCGCGGACCACGATCGTTGTTGCTAAGCAACTTTCACAGCGGTCACGGGATGGGTGACCAAAAAATTATTATTTCTATTTACTCCGTGCCTCGGATGCACGTTAAGTAGTTGATGCCGGCTACTATTGCAATTAGTACCCTCCAATCCGCATTAGGTCCGCCTGTTAGGTCATTGACTTCTTAAACACTTACAAGGAAGGCCTGAGCCCCTGCAGTGGGCACGTAAAAGGGCTATAATAATGATAGACAAATATTAGTAATACAAAAATGCATATATTTTGAACCAATAGACGAGATTTTGGATAAAGTAACTACTGTTAATTTAAAATTGCAATTTTAGCGTAAATTTAATCTGACGCTATACCTTGTTTATTAATAGCGCTGCTAGGTATTAACAGTTCTTTGTTATTTAGTAAAAATAATTGTCTAAGCTATGACATAATTCTTAAGCAATTCCTTCTCTCAACAATAGATGCTAATAGCATTGCCAAACCTCCCGATAAATTATTGCGTGTCCGGTCAAAATAAACGGTGTCCGGATCGTTAGGCGCTTGTTAGGCTTTTTGCATTTCAAATTTTTGCAAATTTATGATAACAATTAAGCTTGATTTTACATTCAATTTTGCTGTCGTATCTGTTAATACTGAGACACAAAATCCATAATAACGTAGGGTGTCCGGCCTGTCCACCCAAATGTCCGGACAAACTGGCCGGTCTGTCCGGCTATTAGGTTTGACGACCTGCCAACCATAGACTAACCCAGTGATTCTCAACCACTGTTCCGCGGCACTTTTGTGTGCCGTGAAATTTCAAAAGTGTGCCGCCAAATTTTGCCAATATATAATGATGTTAACATTGTTAAATTATATTGAATAATTTTTTTTTATTATTAGCTTGTAATTAATCCCTTAATAAACGTTTCAAAATTATTAAAGCATATATTAGTTTATTTCGTATATTAAAAAGTTTTTTATAAACGCTTTATGCAGTGTTTTAGGAAGTAAATAGTTTTTATCTTTTTCTTTGTGTGCCGCCAAATTTTAAAATCGTTAAATATGTGCCGCAACAAATAAAAGGTTGAGAATCACTGGACTAACCTATAAGTGTTACAGTTACTCTACTTTAGAGCTGGTCGTATCATCAAGCTTTTAATAATTAGTCGAAGATATTATTTTTACTTTTTTTCTGGTTAAAAACTTTTTTGTTATAGTTAGCAGTTGTCGGCGCGAATGCAGAGCCGGCCCTGCAGAATCTTCTAGGGGATCTGGTTACTGCAAAACTTATCGGAGGACTACTCAGCGCTAAGAAACCGGTAGCCAAACCAATTCTTCCATTACTGCCACCTCCACCCCCAACAGTGCCGGTGAGGAGATACTTTACAATTTACTGAAAACTATTTTAAATGGTAGTTTGATACATTATAAACACACTGTCAACATATCATGGGTATCTGTTCCATTATCTATGAAAATAATTGTTCAAGTTTAAATAGCAAAAATGGCGCCAATAACGCTGCTCTATGTAATGGCGCTGATCACGTGGTATTTGTGACGTCACACGCCGGTAAATACGTCAAGGCGGCATAACCTCTTTACTAACTATTTATTTACGAAGTAAACAGATAGTATTATAGAAGAGAAAAAGAAAGTTAAAATTTATGTTTTGTATTTTTATCTACACTCGTTTTGTTTATAAAAATGAATTACAAATTGTATGTATTAATTCAAATTTTGCGTATGTATAATAAGACTGTTTTGACATGATAGCTTCCTGTTTACGTGTGACGTCACATCCCGATAAATAGAACCTGTTATTGGTTGCGATGACAACCAATTACAGGGCGTTTTCGTCATCCATTAAAATTATTAAAAACTAGATTTCGCCAGCGGCTTCGCCAGCGTAGCCCCTAGGGAAATGTTAAGTGGGATAAAAAGTATCCTATTATCTAAGTCAGCTAATACCCTATCTGTATACCAAATTTCATTCAAATCCGTTCAGTAGTATCGGCGTGATTGACGTACAAACATCCAAACATCTAAACAAAGAAACTTTCACATTTATAATATTAATAATAGGATAATTAATAGGATGTTACATTTTCTTAACGTTATTTTACCAAAGTTAAAGATATTTTGTCTGGAGATTCTAAGGAATAAACTTTATCAGATTATTATTTAACAGGATGACCACAAAACGCTCTTATTTTTAATAATGTGAAATACTTTATATACTTTATTAATTTCGCATGCATAATGCTATACTGGAAAATTTATTAATAAATCCACTAGCCTCATGTATACTAAAATTTCCTGATTTCTTTCGGCTGTTTGTGTGGATCATCTGAACATTGATAAAAATACGCTCAGTAGTTGCGAAAGGTGCTATAGGAACCTTAGGGTTGGAGGTGTAGTCCCTACTGTGGTGATGGAGACAACTGGCCAGGGAGACTAAAGGATAATTGTCTCCCTCCGAGCTAGGTGTTGTTAGTCCGGGGACCGCGGTCCAACCGATGTAGGTTGGACGTTCTATTTATGTTAATTGGTAATGAAACTTATTCTGTGCGATGTAGGTTTCTTTGTTCTAAATGCCTTGTAGTTATTGATTTATGCTGCTTGTATTGGTACAGCGCCATCTCGTTACTTGCTGTTGAAACTTATTGCAGTTCGTCTTGCTATCGATGGCTGTGACGATGCTAGTCTTCTCGCTATCGATTGTTGTGGCGATGTTACTGCGATGAATTAGATTTCGCTGTGTATCAGTCGCCAGAGTGCTAAAAGTGCTTGAAAAATTCGTCAGTCCTGTTAGGTCCTGGGTAGCTCAGTGGTAAGAGCAGTCGCCCGGATAGCGAATGCACGTGGGTTCGAGTACCATCTCAGAGTACCTGAGGTTGGTGTATGTTTTAAGCATTTTTCATTAGGAGATAATTATTAAGTGTTGTTAAGCAACTTTCGCAAGGGTCGGTCAAGGAATAGGTGACCGAAGAAAATATCGTCTAGAGCTACTCCACGGAGTAAAGCACGCTTCAGAAGGCACTTTAAACCGTTGGTATTGGCAGCATTTGCAGTCGTTCCTCCAGCCTTCAACCCCTACATTGGGGACGTATAAGGGCAGATGGTGTTGAATGCCATGTATTGCTGCTCTAAGACAACATTAGTTACCTACCATAGATTTTTATTAATAGAACATTTTTATTTACAGAACTTCCTCCTGTATAATGCTCTTGGTAAGATACTGTTATGTAATACAGCAAAAATTATAAAGTAGATTTTGTTGCTTCTTAAAAGCAAAGGGATCTCGCCCATACAGCCTCACCAATTCGGTGTTATTTTTTAAATCAATCGAAACACACAAAGAAATCCACTGAAAGCATTTCAGTTTGAATTTTAATATACTATAGACAATAAATATACTTTCGAAAAGATCAATAATGTAGTTTGCGATTATGCGACTTTTAATGGAAGGCATATACAATATATATACCATTAGCTCTGACTACATCTTTAGTAAGTATTAACTAGTCAACATTCCATTTAATCAAAGTAAAATTATGTAACATTCATAACAAAAGTTCTTCTGATTTTTTTTTTTCAGGACAACTGATTAAGGGTTTAACACGTAAGTCTTTAAAAATATTTAGAGAAATTGAAATAATCAAATTAGTCATTTAAATGTTAATAAATCAAACATGAACCTAAGACGACGGATGAATGTATGAAATGTTTATTAGCAAATAAATAATAGAAAAGATAGGAAACCAGAACAAATTTTATCTCAGGTACGCCAAATTAGCCTCTATTCTACCTGTTTTTCAGCATTATGCCTGTCTTGACGCTGGTATTTTGCGGATACCTCGAGAGTGAGCACAGAACACAAAATTTGTAAGACGAAAAGTGCAACGTAAAGAAAACAAACACAAAAGACAATTTAGTTTATCTGCAAATATAAGACAGATGTATTTTCACAATGAGGAAAGTATTAAAAAAAACACGAAAGCACTTATAAAGCACCTCCACTAGATGGCGACTCTAGCAAAAGTTGATTGTTGCAGGAAATGAATGGACCAATGAGTCATTTTCGTTCCTATTAAAAAACTGATATTTGAAAAGTTCGAAACTTAGATATCAATACAAATACGAAAAAGTACAAATAGAATATGAGTTGTTTATTGAGTTTTGAAAACTAATTTACTTTTAAACATGAAAGAAAACCCAAGGAAGGGTTGTAATGGAGAAATGGAAACGTACCGTAGCGACATCTAGTTAGATTTTGGGTTTTTTTTTAATACCATCTCATTGTAACGTCAATCAATCGTGATAGCGTTCAACAGTAGCATGCTGATCGTTTTAAATGTCTGAGGTATAAACAGATTTTTATAATTATGTGTTTTTGCCATAGATACAACGGGGGATGCTCCAAAGCAACTGGCCAAATGCACTAAACTGCGTAAGTACTGTTATAAAAATATAACAATACTATACAAATATAACATCAATTAGAAAAACTTGTTGTCAATTATATTTTATTAAAAAAAAAGAAAAAAAAGAAAAATATAATTCATCAAACTTGAAACAAGAAATTGAAGTAATATTAACTTCACAAATGATTTATTTTTTTTAAATTCGTTGTGACGAAAGTATTATAAACGGCCCGCTCCTTTTAAATTTATGTTTAGTTATACGTTAGTTTAAGTAATATGATATTTTGTTATTGTGTATGTGCCACACACAGAGATCCTTTATTTATTAACACTGTAATAGTTTAAATCTTCTTAACCGATTTAGATAAAGCTTATGATGTTTCAGTTTAAAACGCAATTACGGAACAAAACTAAAGAAAGGTGAAAATCTAAAAAGGTTTTTTGTTTTCAGCGATACCTGGTACTGTCAATGACATAGTCTTCGTTGTCATCAGTGGTAATTTTTTTTTAAATTACGTTCACATTATGAAAGAAAAAATATATATCCTAAATGTACTTAATTCTACAATAACATTTAAAGCTAGTATGGGTCCGTAATAGGCAAAACAAGTCGGTTAACCAGTACAGTATCCGTTATTGGCAGCTTATTAGAGTCAGTTATCATCGTTAGGCCCGGATCAAGGAGGGAGGTGGGCAAGTGAGAGGGTTCGCCAAAATCATTACTTAATACAGTAAAAAAAAAACTAGCTTCACAAAATGTATTTTAAAATAAATTCATAGACATATGGCATACATATTTTCAAGGGGGGGGGTAGTAAAGGCGCAATATGATGTTCAAGATCAAGGCCTGCTTCCTTACTCTCGACCGCAATCACGACCTGTCAACCCAATCAAGAGTACGAAACGACGCAATTGTCGATCGATCGCGTTTGCGTCCCAGAGTAAGGGGGCAGATCGTTATCCAAAGCTTACACTAATAAGACCTGAATAACGGCAACAAATACTAAGAATATATGCAAATAATTAATGATAATTTCAATTTCACAGTTGGATTAGTTATCAAAGGAGTTCTCAACGTCTTACTAGCAGGAGGTGAGTATTCATAAACATACATTTTAAATGAAAAGAAAAATGTTATAAAACCGGCATATGACAGATGACTAGTAGGCCAATAGGCTCGTTTTTTTAAATTTAATATACATATGTATTAGTATTAATAATTTTAATATGTGACTGTTAAGCAACTCTAGCAATGTCACAAAATGGGTGACCAAAAAATCATTTTCTGTCGCTCCTCCGTGCCGGAAGGCACGTCGCGGCTGCATCCATAGTCGTTTATACCCGCCAATCTGCTCAACACGTGCAGCATGACAAACTCGAGACACAACACAACAACATCTCACTCTCGACCCGAGAAAGTGTCATTTGGGTGTAGACAAAACAACCTAATGTCACTTTCTCTTGTTTTATAAATTTAACCCTTCAAACCTGACACCACACATTTAAAAAACGAATGCAAGCACATGCGTCATTGCTAAAGTAGACTTTAACTGCCTGAAAATAAGAAGAACTAGCAGGGTTTCACGGAATGGCGCAATAGTCACGTGACCGGCCGAATTCGGCCGATCGCGTGCTGAAGGGTTAATATAGTAGTAAGCAATTATTTCGGGTGTTCTAGATAAAGTGAGTCAATTTGTACAAATTTGACTATTTATATAAAGTGCGAATAATCAGAAACATTTTATGGATTTTAGTCAAAAAGCTTCGTAAGCAAATGAATGTAATCTATTTATAATATTGGGTATTCTGTCATTCCATGAGTGAGTGGCGGCGAAACGCCGACACGAACGAGTGTTACTAGTACACTAGTACATAGTAGGGTTACTATGTTGTACGAGCGCACCCGAGAAAAGTGATATTTGGATGTAGACAAAACTTTTCTCCAGTTTGTCATGCTACGTGTGCTGGACCCGCGTGGTGGGTCATGGCACATTCTCCATATTTGATTTAATTAGATCCATAGGTATGGCCTGAACTCCAGTAGTGGGAATATCGACAAATCGCTGATTGTAGAAATATCAATAAATACGCACCTTCATCATAAATTCTTCTACTTTAAGTAACTATTCTTACAAAAAGCAATTGTATTTGTTTTATTATTTCAGCTGGCACCGTCTTCGCAAGCTGTGAGTACATTTATTTATTTATTTAACACTTCATGTACATAATACATTGGCGACTTAATGCCTTAGGCATTTTCTACCAGTCGACCAGATGGGTGATGTGGAGATAAAAGGTGGTAGTGTGCACATTGTACAGGAGATATAAACAGAGGAAATAAGACCTATAACAAAATACATAAACTTACATAAACAATACATATATACTTTCATAACTACATATACTAATATATATATATATAATGTAATGTAGACGACTAACGGTGTAACGAATTAGCCTGTTCCAATAGACAGCTACGCAGCTTATTTTTAAATGTAACTTTGCTGGTGGACATTCTGATGTCCAACGGAAGTTCAGTCCACAACAGAATCGATTGTATTTAAAATAACTTTACTATTATCTCTAATACATTCATTAGTTAGCTAGCTGGCACCTATGTCTAACTCAAACCATCATATTTTAAATGCGTGTACTAACTTTACCACCAGGGGCCGAATATACTAATTTTAAGTCTATCACGATCACTTTCAAACGTATAGCGGTTGTGACAGTGATTAAAATCACAATAGATTTTGTAACTAATGATGATTTGAATGATATAAATTTCATAGACAATGAAGTAGTGTTTAAAAATAAATTAGTTCCAGACATCAAACTAGATGTCGCTACGGTACTTTCTTGATTTCACCATGACGACCCTTCCGGTTTTCTTTCAAATATAAAAGTAAATTAGTTTTCAAAACTCAATAAACAACTCATATTCTATTTGTACTTTTTCGTATTTGTATTGATATCTAAGTTTCGAACTATGCAAATTTCAGTTTTTAATATGTTAGTTAATAGGAATGGAAATGGCTTATCTTTGGTCCATTCGTTCCCTGCAAAAATCAACTTTTGCTAGAGCCGCCATCTTGTGGAGGTGCTTTTTAGTGCTTTCTTTTTTTCTTAATATAATTCCTTATTTATTTCGTTTGACATTTCCCAACAGCTTTTTTAAATAGCATTTGTAACTATCACTATATTTAGAGAATTCAGATGAACGTCAAATAAACTTTATAGTTCGGTCAATTTCGTTCAAAAAACATTCTCGATCGGTTGTAGCGTGAAGTTCGTGACTATCTTCAAATTCGAAGTAGCTGTGATAGATTTAAAATTAGGCTGCTGCTATTAAAATTAGTACTCGTATTATATTAAGATGGTTTGATTTAGTTATAAATTTGTCATCTGTAGCAAAAATTGTTTTCTTTTCTTTATTATTCTTGTTATTTGTCTCATTTTTCAGTCCTCCTTGGCTTAGTGAAGATTATAGTATGTAGCGCTGGTAAAGGAAAAGGTAAGAAATTATTATTGTTTATAAAATGAACACCAATTAAATCTTATATTATTGATTAAAATAATAATAATATAAGTAATCTGCGGAAATCACTAATGAAATGAAAATGTTTTTATTCAAGTAGGCTTGTTACAAGCACTTTTGAATCGTCCAAAAATATTTTTTCCCCTACCACTTGTTCAGGACGTCTTTTAGCTGACAAGAAGAACAAGCGAAAGAAACTTACCAGCTTTTTATCATAAGTAATGACATTTACATAAATCATGCCATTACCAAAATAATACATATATTGAACAATAATAAATACAAGTTTCAAAGTCTGTAGGACATAGGTTGGTACATGCCTATAAATTAATCGTTATAGATATAGATCTAAGGCTCGTAATTTCATGCATTCCGGTCCTTTAAATACACGTCAATCTACACATTGTGGACTTTGTATCGACCGCGATTCGTATAGACCTTCCCTATTAACAGAGGCCTGTTTACAATACGGATACGGATACGGAGGAGTAAAAGATAATAAATTTTTGCCCACCCATCTTATGACTGACCTTTGCAAAAGTTGCTTAACTTTTTTAATCAAACTTTGTTATGTTTAGCACTCTTCTCTACACCGCCGGCTGTGTGCGGTGCGAATTATGGTGTCCAGTGGCATTTGAAGACTTACAATGGTGGATATGACAATATAAAAAAGATAATTGAATTCTATGAGATCCAGAAGATCGAACATACTATCAAGGAAACTATACAGAAAGTCACCAAAGGACTTGGCATAGTAGCTTTAGTTGGTAAGTAATAATGATCATTAAAATATGAATATCTTTCAAAAAGGATAATATAAAAGAAGAAAGAAAAATAGTTAATGTTAGCCAACATAGCGCACACAAAACATTATGGCGACTTCTCAAATTTTACACATTTAAGTGCTCTTTAACTACAACGAAAAAAGTTTAAGTCTGTCATATTGTCAATATTGCCAATAGATGAAAGATGATGGCTAATGACAAGAAGGAAAGATTAGGCTTTGTCTTATAAAATAATACAATACCCAAGATTTGGCTGTATGGCTTAGTTCCTTCGCCTGTCCCATAGACGAGACTACTACTACTGCTAGGTACTGATGGCTAATTTTTATTTATCTGTCCGGATGTTTTGGAAAATTCAACTTAAGGTTTAACACATCCTTTATTATTGTTCTTCAAAAACTATGTATCTTGACTGATATTTTAAAATTTAAAAATCTATATAGAATCCAATATCGTAGCAGTCTGAAGTCACCTATTAAAAAAACAAATATAAATTAGATTTAATTATTTTTGAAGAACAATAATGACGTATATATCAAAGCGGAAATTCAATTTTGAAAAAAACACCGTCCGCTCTGTCCGTCGAATAGATTATAGATTAGAACACAGAACATAGAGAGAGATTAGAAGTAGTAAGTGGGCGGGGCAAGCGTGGCTGGCATATGCGCTTTTACTCATATGACGCCCTTTCCTCGGTTTTACGTTTGCCAGTCGTTCGTCAATCGTCGAGTGGTGATTTTACAGATTTTTTCTATAAAAAATACCGTTTTGTGCTATTATCACTTGCAAAAAGCAAAGCAAAGTATACAATCTAACTAATGCAAACATTTCCTTTCACTGGTAAATATAATTTTAGTGCTAAAATATAAAAAACGTAATAATTTGACACAATGTCAAATAAAATATACATTGATTGCTCAAACCAACATCAATGTTTCTGACCCCATTACTAGACAGCAATGTAAATCATTTTGTGCACTTTTGCAAAAAATAGTGCTGTGCCTCCATTTGTCTGAAATGTACCGATAGGCTGCTGCTACTCGGAATCGTATTGTAAAACGATCCATATCGTAATCGATAACTAAAACATATTTATTTAGGGCTTTTCTTTCATCATTTCATAACAACTTTATGGATAAGTATATGCCATAATTATATAAAACTAAATAATACTGTTTACAAGAGAAAATAATAGATGAACTTATACTGAACAAATGAAATAATGAACTATCCAGGCACTTTTTTTACGAAGATTCAGTTAATTAATTACACGCAGATAGATATTAAAAAATTCTGATGTGCTATAAATAATAAGTGCTTGTAATAAAGAAATGAAAATATCTTTATTACAAGCACTTTTGATTCGTCCAAAATTTTTTTTCCCCTACACCCTACGTCTTTTAGCAGACAAGAAGAACAAGCGAAAGTAACTTACCAGCTCTTTGTCATAAGTAATAACATTTACATAAATCATGTCATTTCATATCAAATCACAATAATAAATAAACTTCCAAAGTCTGTAGGACATAGGTTGAACATATAATTAGTCTTTATAGAACAAAGCGAAGGCTATTAATTCCATGCATTGCGATCCTTAAAATAATCATCAACTTTATAATAGCTTTTACTCATAAGTATATTCTTTACATGAATTTTAAATTTATTTATGGGTAGGTCAACTACATTTTGTGGAACTTTATTGAACATAGCAATGCATCTACCCAGAAATTATTCTCTGGTTTTCTGAAGTCTGAAGCTTGGAACGGCAAGTTTATTTTTATTTCTTGTGTTAAGATTATGAACACTACTTTTTTTTGTGAAAGAATCGTAATGTTTTCTTGCGTACTCATATTTTCATAGATGTATTGAGAGGCAACAGTAAAAATATTTTTTTTTTTTATATTTCTCTGAGAGATTCTCTAGACCGTAAATTATATATAGCGCGGACAGCTCTCTTTTGTATAATAAAAATATCTTGAATGCTAGCCGCAGAACCCCACAACAATAGATCATACGTCATAAAATATGAAAATAACTAAAATATATCAATCTTGCCGTTTCATCATTTGTAAAGAGTCTAATTTTCTTAACAGCAAATGCTGCAGAACTCAGTCTACTTGACAAATTATCAATATGAGGATCCCATTGCAGTCGGGAATCTAGTGTAATACTAAGGAAGTTTGGTCGATTCCACCAACTCAACTTTTTCACTATTTAAATTTATAAGTGTATTAACATTCCTCACATTAGGTAATGCAAACTTTATGCATTTCGTTTTATTTGAATTAAGCTTTATATTATAACTATCAAACCACTGTAGAACATTGTGGAACTGAATCACATTTAACTGTTTAATAACAAAATTTAAAGCTCTTATTTTATCAACTAATATTATGTCCCATCACTAATATGCACAATCGGAATGATACCAGTAAGAAAAAAAAATTAGGCTTAATGTGATTAATACAAAAAATCTGTTGTTTTATTATTTTTGTTTTTTTTTACACTTTCCCTCGCCTAATTATATTACTCCACAGACATATGATCAAAATCAAAATCAAAATTTATTTATTCAGTTTAGGCTTTTACAGAGCACTTGTGAAAGTCGAAAACTACGCCATCGGTTCGCAAAACTACAGCGGGAGACCTTGTATTGAGAAGAACCGGCAAGAAACTCAGCAAGGGCTGTTTTTTTTCTCCCTGTTTTATTTCACACAGAGAAGTCTTATTGAAAAATGATAGAGTTTATCATTAAGTTTTCTTAGTTTTTGTACTGCGTTTTTTTATCAGATATTTTATTAAATTATATAGGGAAAAGCGTTATTTTTCACTATTCACTTGGTTACAGCAAAATCTAATCTTAATAGTTCGCACATAAAATGATGTCCCCAATTTTTTAAAATGTGCATCATCTTAAAATATTTTTTCCCTTTTGGTATCCCCGTATACAAGCTGGACAGTCACGTGACAGTTCAACATTCATGTTAAAGTAAATTATTTATTATCACGTTAAATTAGAGTTTGTTTTTAATCGTGTGATTTTTTAGCTTAGTATCTTTTTGGAATTTTGTTTATGTTATCGCGAACGTATCGCGTGGCGGTTTTTCATGTAGTGAACAAAATGATTATTTCATCTAATCTGCATTTGTGTGCGGAGAGGCGACACTCGGTTCCCATACTAAATTAATATCATTATACTTCTATCTCTCTCTATGTTCTGTGGATTAGAACATTAAAAACGATTTTTTTACAATTGAGTTAATTGATTCGTTGAGTTAAAACGCCGTATAACGTAACTCCTTTGTACATTTTCTACGTAGTTCAAATAATTAAAATAATAATACAACTATTTAAGGTAGTAGGAGCGCGAGAAGGACTCAGACTTTGCTGGTATTATAACATAAAGGTATAATATTGTATACAAATTGTAGAATAACAAATTTTTCGTCTATTTCAGGTTCGGCTAGATATATAGTTACATGGGTTCTTCAATTAATCAAAATATTCAGTAAGTACAAGGCAATATGTTTTTTTTTATTTAATTGACATGTACCTTTATTACATTCAATCTATCAAATACTTTCATCACTGCAGAGGTTCCAAAATTTCTCTTCTCATAGACTATTTTATTGTTACTGGCTTCTATTGTCCCTCTGTTGGTACATTGCAACCATAATAAAATTATGCAACGTTAACTTGTAAGTACAGTCGGGGTCACGCGTGCCTGTACACTTCAAAATCTCGTTCGCTTGGCACACACTTGATCATTTGATATATCTAACGAAATAATGAGCTTTTCTGTCGCTTACACTTAACAAATATGTGTAGTAAAAAGTAGGAAAATGAAATTACTTGAAAAATATTCTTAACGAAAAATGCTTAAAAATCCACTTTGTCACTGGCACACTGATGTGGGACTCGAACTCATGACCATTCTTAATGCGAATGCTCTAACCACTGAGCTACCCAGGACCTAACAGGACTGACGAATTCTTCGAGATTTTTTAACTTTATTATATAATTTTAAACGGATAGCTGCAGCTCATTTATATATTATTTTAATCCCATTGCATAATTTTTTAGACAATCAATTCATGCTTATAATTGTTATTCTAGATGATAAGTATGGTATATTAGCTTACATTCACACAGATTTAATTATTTTTTTCCCAAAGAAATTGCAGGCAATGTGAAGAAGACATGGACGACAGCTGAAACTGTTTTGGTTATCAGTAAAAGTGAGTTTACCTACACAATTTGAACTAATAACGAATAGAAAAGCTCGGCGTAGATGTCAGCACCGGCACATGTAGTATACAAGCTATGTCGAACATTACGATTCGAAATGAATGATTCCAGCAGAAGTATGATGTACGAAAAAAATACTACACAATGAAATAAAGTCTGCCACCGGAGCCATGTCCCTTTTGGCTCTACGCTAAATACTTTCCTGTAAATAAAAATAATTACTATTTAGTCCGACAGTCAGATATTAGAAAAGTATTAGATACGCATTTTTTTTACTTCAATTTAACAAGAAATAACTTAAATAACAAGCATTAAAGTTGAGGAGCTCACTACGTCAGAGTTTTGTAGAAAATTTACCAAAAAGTGACGTCGTGTAACATTTTAACTCAACGTATCGACGTACTTTTATGATTACGAAAAAGAAAATAAAGGTGTTTAATATTTTATACACAAATATATACAAATAAAAATTAGTGGTCATTCCTACATTAAGTTTTGTTTTTACTTACAGTTGTTACCATCATCGGAGGCATCGCCAACAGCTATAAACGTGGCCGTAAGTATTTCTATAAATTGTCAATGAAATTTTAATTAAAAAAAAATAAAAAAAGTATGCAGTGGCGTAACTATACAGTTTGAGGCCCGTAATAATAAATGTCAGGAGTAATGAGTCTTCTTCCGGGCCCTGAGGCATTTTACCGATTTGCCACACTGTAGTCCATCATCATCATCATCATAACCAGCCCTTTTACGTCCCCACTGCAGAGGCTCATGCCTTCCTTATGGATGGTTAAGGAGGATGGGCCGTGACCCTCCACGCTGGCCCAATGCGGATTGAAGGGTTTAACGACTGCAAATACAGCCGGGACCACAGCTTAACGTGCCTTCCGAAGCACGGAGTAGCTCGAGATAATAATTTTTTGGTCATCCATCCCGTGACCGACCATAGCGAAAGTTAGTTAACGGCTACGATCGCGGGCCGTGGCGCTTATCCACTACGCCACCGAGCTACTCTCTGCCGGGCCACTCTGCAATGTGGGGACTTAATGAGACGGCCATTACTTGGCTCAATGAGAAAGTATTGAGGAAATATTTTAAGCAAAAAAAACGTAAGCACTAAAAAAGCACCCCACTAGATGGCGACTCTAGCAAAAGTTGATTTTTGCAGGAAACGAGTGGACCAAAGACAGTCATTTCCGTTCCTTTTAACTAACATATTAAAAAACGGAAATTTGAAAAGTTCGAAACTTAGATATCAATACAAATACGAAAAAGTACAAATAGAATATGAGTTGTTTATTAAGTACTGAAAACGAATTTACTTTTAAACATGAAAGAAAACCGGAAGGGTTGTCATGGAGAAATCAAGAACGTACCGTGGCGACATCTAGTTTGACTTCGGGAACTAATGTTTTTTTAATACTTCCTCATTGGACTTCCACATAATACTTTGCGTCAATGTCCGTCTTTTTGCCTGCCCTGTTATTTTGCCGATATATTTCTGAACGCGGCAATAGCGTTTCGGAGTGATTTTATATTCCGGGCAGTATGTAATCATTTTCAAATAAATTGACAAATGTATTTTTTTCCAGTTGGAGAAGATGTCGCAAAGGGTAAGAACACTTATATTGTAAATGTCTTTAACATGCAATTCTTGCTTCGTAACGTTTACAACTTTTTTGTTGATATTCTAACTTATAGTTTATTTTTTTATACAAAGGTTTAGGATGTTTAAAATAATTATTTCATAATGTAGCATACATTGCTTCCTTCATTTATTCATTCGTTCCACATAAAATTTTGTCTTTAAATTTGTGTGTATAAAAAATAATATGGATAATAACTAATATTTGTTCATGTGTGCAACAGTCAGTTTATTTCTTGTGCAAACTATAAATTACAATGATACATTGAGTTGAAATGTCGCGTAACGTTACACCTTTGTATGTGATGTAGCGAGCTCCTTTTCAACTTTAATATATATTATCTAAGCCATTTCTAGTTAAATTCAAGCAAAAAAATACGTATCTAATATCTTCCTTTTATCTGACTGACGGACTGAATAGTTTTTCTTTTTTACCATGACATCATCCCCATTGGTCCCATTCGGTCGGTCAGGATGGGTGATCAAACTGTATTAGGAACCTATTGTGGCGACTGATATGTAGCGACATCTAATTCATCGCACTAACATTGCCACAGCAATCGATAGCAAGATGTTTCAAAACACAGTAACGAGATGGCGCTGTACCGACACAAACATTATAAATTAATATATTTCAAGTAATTAAGAACAAAGTAACCTACATCGCCCAAGTTTCATTACCAATTAGCATAAATAGAACGTCCAACCTACATTGGTTGGACCACGGTCCCCGGGCTAACAATACGTAGCCCAGAGGGAGACAATTGTCCTTTAGTCTCCCTTGCCAGTTGTCTCCATCATCCAGTAGGAAGCACACCTTAAATTAAACGGTTCCTATGCTATCTTAAAGAATGCTCTAGAGATAATTTAAAAATAACTGCACATCATATTTCAGGTATCATAACATACATCTGTCTCAGTCCACATAGTGCAGTATTCGGTGGAAAAGGTAAGATGCCCGATGAGCTCATTGTTCATATCAATTTGGTCCCGAAACTATTGGACCGGTTTTAAACATTCTCTCACCTACGGGAAGCCACATCATGCGCGGGTGGCATAGGCTATAATCCAGTGGCGACTGATACATAGCGACATCTAATTCATCGCAGTAACATCGCCATAACAATCGATAGCGAGAAGACTAGCATCGTCACAGCCATCGATAGCAAGACGTACTGCAATAAGTTTCAACAGCAAGTAACGAGATGGCGCTGTGCCAATACATGCAGCATACATTATTAACTACAAGACATTTAGAACAAAGAAACCTACATCGCACAAAATAAGCATCATTACCAATTAACATAAATAGAACGTCCAACCTACATCGGTTGGACCGCGGTCCCCGGGCTAACAACACCTAGCTCGGAGGGAGACAATTATTCTTTAGTCTCCCTGGCCAGTTGTCTCCATCACCACCATAGGGACCTTCATATTCAACCTTACGGTTCCTAAAATCCACTCGGGCGAAGTCGTGGAAAAATATTAAAAAGAAGAAGTTAATATATTCAATGAACATATATAAAAATGGGGAGATTAATAACTATAAATATTAACAAATATTCCACATTTGGGTCTACTTTCACGCCTGGTTACTATATGTGTTATGTATGTATACAGTATAGTACCTACCCATAGTATATATACCCTGCAGTGCGCGGCTGCGTCCCGCACCCCCTTCCCTTCTCGCCGATGCAAGCGCATCATCGAATAAACAGTGTGTTACAGATAGCCTATCGTTTCATTCGTACTACTCGCATACTTAACAATATGTAATTGTTTTTTTTTTTTATTATTTCGACTCCCAATACAGTGATGTCCTTTTGCTGAGATACATGGACAACTAACTCATAAAAGGCAGCTGCAAAGTCAAAGTTAAAATAATCTTTATTCAAATAGTACTTAAAAGTACTTTTAACGCGTCCAACATTTTTTTCCCCTACCACTCGTTCAGGACGTCTTTTGGCTGATAAGAAGAACGTGCAAGAAGCTCGCCAGCTCTAATGGGAGTAATGACATTCACAAAAACCATGACATTACCAGAACAATACATTATAAATAGAGAGAGAAAAAAACTATGGTCTTATAATGATAACATAATAATTTCAGCTCGGCAACTCTTCATTCGAGTCTCATATCAATTAATTCCTATTCTCTATTCCAGAACTACAGCAACGTCTCGACAACATCGTAAAACATATAAACAAATGCGACAAACACAGTTTAAATGGCGCATTGAACGACACCAATACCATCACCAAATATAACTTGACTGCTCCAACAAAATTATCTGCCCCAACAAACGGCGCTACTACAACAAATATAACTGCTCCAACAAAATTATCTGCCCCAACAAACGGCGCTACTACAACAAATATAACTGCTCCAACAAAATTATCTGCCCCAACAAACGGCGCTACTACAACAAATATAACTGCTCCAACAAAATTATCTGCCCCAACAAACGAAGCTACTACAACATATATAACTGGTCCAACAAAATTATCTGCCCCAACAAACGTCGCTGCTACAACAAATGTAACTGCTCCAACAAACGAAGCTACTACAACAAGAGTAACTGCCCCAACAAACGACACTGCATCAACAAACTCAAACGATTACTACGACGATGACATTTATTATTACAGCGGTGACTACTACTATGATGATTATGGAGCTATCATAAATGGAACCGACCCCATTACCGGGGCAGATAGCTCTAGCAATCAAAGCGATGACATAAGCGCCTCTACACAAAATTAAAAAGTCAATGCTAACTCGGTTGATGTTAAGACTATTGGGATTAGTTTTTGCGAAGGACGGATTAAATAATACACGCCATGTTCATCAGATTCGTTTTTCCTTATATTATTTAAATGTGACGTTTTACCATAGAGTAAGTAATACTACATATCCATAGACTAATATTCCAACAAAGACTACTGTTGGACACCGATGATTAATATGAACTGTATAATGCTTAAATAAATTGTAACATTATTGGTTAGTCTACATATTGAAATTAAAATACAATTGAAAATTAAAAAACTATTTTCATTTATTAAAGTGTTATTTATGTTTATTAAACGTTGCAATTTTCAGTTCAGTATACGTATTTTGAAAGAATACATTTTTTGTGATAATATCGTAAGGGGCCGTTCATTAATCACGTGAGGCTCGAAAGGGGGGAGGGGGTTCATAAAAAATCACGAATATCACAAGAGTGGAACGGGGGGTGTAGTATTATATCACGTGTATTTATTTATTGCTCAAATGCGCGATTCTAAACCGAAAAGCAGCGTGAAAACTTAAGATTTTTGTAGGTAATAAAAATACACTTTATTTGGGAGGGCAGTCTCAAATCTCACCATGTATCACCAAGGATAGGGGGTTCAAAAATGCTAAAACTTAGATCACGTGATTAATGGACGCCCCTGATATAATAGTGCTAGGGACAAAGTGGATTTTATAAGCTTTTTCATTAATAATATCGTTATAAGGAACACATATATAACTATTTGAGACATTCTTCTTATTCGATTTGATTGAATTGCATCCATAAGGAAGGCCTGCGAACAGCGCTGGGCACATTAATAAGTTGGTGATGATTATATAACCGCAATTTGCGTTGCCACCAACTAACTGTGGCAACGATTCCTTCGCGTACAAAGAAATTTGGCGACTCATCACTCTTTGTCGTACTTCCAAAAAATGGAATTGTCTCCCGGCCCATGTATTCCCTCTTTCCTATGACATAGGGTCCTTCAAGCGGGGCGTGAAGAAGCACCTTGCAGGTCGGCAAGGTGAGGTTGGCTAGTGCAGTACCTAAGTACTGTTTTCACTAGCTGTCCTCACGTTTGGACTACGCCTCCGCTTACCATCAGGTGGAGCGTAGTCATTTGCCCTCCATTTCATATAAAAAAACAAAAATCCAATAAGTCATATTAATCGATGGCAAAACAAACGCTAATATAAATTTTTTGTCAAAGGAAATAAATCACTAGTTATTCCTATAACTGTATTTAAGTAAATCCTTTTTTATAAGTAAGTATACGCTTTTACAATTTATTATTATTTCAATTTATTCATTAAAATAAATATCATATCTCTTTACACCAATCTTTTCTAATTTAATCAATTAACAAAACCTATTTCTTTTTAATTATCAGCAAATTACTTAGAAAGACACAAGTGAAACACTTTTCAACACATGGCCAAAAGTAATGTTTATTTTCATGTCTCCTGAATAGTAAGGGTATTGCTTATACGCCCTATGGCTTGAAGTCTACGATATAATGTCATCATCCACGTACATCAAAGCGTATTGTTGTCCCAAAAAAATATTTAGGATATCTATACAATACAAATAGTGCATTATTTAAGTCAGAAGACATTCATTTGTACTCAAAACGAGCATCTAACGTAACAAAAACTATTATAACACACGATGTCACCCAAAAATAGTGATGCGACTCGAATAGGATTTTGTGACTCGAGTCATTCGAGTAATTTAACTATCTCACTCGAATCGTACTCGAGTGTTCGAGTCACTCGAGTAAAAAGTCTCTCTCGGCTCGAAACTTGCAACTCAAGTTGCAAGTTTGCAATTGAGTGAGACCTCTTTTAGCAACATTTAAACAAATACCTATATTAATTAACTCATTGTCACGGATGGAGTAATAATTGAAATGAAATACACATTATAAGAGTTTTTACATATTATTTATTTAAGTAATCAACAAACTGAAAAAAATGTCTTCCTAAGAAGTAAGAATAATGAAATTTCCATTAATGAATTATTGATAATAACAAATACATTTTATACAATTTTAATTTAAGTAATTTGGTTTTACTACTACACTTTACTACTACTTATTACAATATAATAAGTGTAGTAGTAAAGTGATATCTAGCTAGTGGCATGGCGGCAATCGAGTGCATAGACACTCGAGTAATATTTTTTTTCAATCGAGTACGAGTTTGACAATTTCACTCGAGTGACTCGAGTTTAAACAAGGCTCGAGTCGCATCACTACCCAAAAATACAAATCTGCTAACATCCAGAGCTGTAATTAAGTGAAATTTTCTGAGATATACCATCACTAGACGCGTTAATAAATTTTAAATTGGACGCTACTTTTTCCGCTGTCATTTATAAGTAGATTGAGGAGCCACATTGAAAGTATTGTATATTCTTTAATATCAACTGTAATTATCTCAGATATTTAGTAGGTGATATACAAAATTGTTGCTGAATGATTCAATACTTTCCTCAATATACATATTCTATCTATGATTTCAAATATTAACGTACTAAAACATTACTTGGTGAACTGCACGACAATTATGATTAATATGTTAATTTCAATTTAAATAAAGTGCGAATTAGTTAAATTGCAATATCGGAGGAGAAGCCTGCTGACTTGAAAACATCAAGCGTAAATTTTAAGAACATTTGTGGAAGAAAATAATTTATTATTATTATCCATTAAATTCATTCCACGTTCCATGCGGCTCCCCAATCCAGATGTTTAGATTGAGGATTCACTTTTACATTAATATATTTTACTACAAATTTCAGAATATAAAGCTTAATTTAGCCTACAAATTGTTTGAATTCCAACAAAATAAGGGGGTAAATTTCATTTTAAAATCCCAAATGGTTTCTCCGTCCATACGGATATAATATATAGTTCAATTCTATTCATAATAGAAATCAAAGCAGGAATGGAGCAAATGAATAATTAGAAAAAAAAAGGTTTGAAAATAGGTCTTCTGTTCGCGTAGAAATCGGTGATCATAAAAAATAACTTACGCGTCGAAAACAGATTCTTCTTTTAGATTTTGAAATTAATTTGAAATACAATGATATTAATATGTCTAGATACGCAATACATACCCAAAATGTGAAGCTACTAAAACTAAGACGTTTGTCTTAGTTTTTTTGTTTTTCATTTCAATACTCATTCAACTCCCGCCGAGAAAGTACAAAAATATGCTCCGCAAAAACGAAGAAAAACAGTAGATAAAATACGATTCTCTTTCACAAATACACAAATTACGAAATAATATTAAGTTTCACACTTAAGTCATTAACATTTTTGGCAATAAAAACAAAATTAAAGCTAGTTTATAAAATAAAAATATTTAATTTTCACAAATAAAATTTTGACATTTTATCGTCAGTGTTGCCATTGCTATTCACTTTCAATTTTCCCCATTATATGGGAGCCTTTTCATGTTATTGGAAATAATAAAAAATATAAATATCTTCTTTTAATTATATGGCTCGTATTTAGTATAGGCAACTGTGCAAATTGTCTTTCATACACAGAGCTAAAGTGGTTTAATTTTTTAAAGTTAATTTAATTTTTTGAAGGCGTGGAATTCGTTAGCTGTCCAGATACAACTTTTGAAAATACGTAAAATTGAACCTTTGATCTTTTGTTAACATTAACAAATGTTTTTCTCTTAAACACTGACTTTATCGAAAAACCAAGGGATTTATATGCACAGAGCCTACTTTCGTGATTGTTTTCTTTTCAAATTTTTTCAAATAAATTTTCAAAGTCACAGTATTTTTCTGATGCATTTTATACATATATCTACATTACTTCTTCATTCATTCATTCATCGTCATGGGTGAATTTTCGAGAGCTGGCAATACAATATCAATTACCCATTTTTCCGTTCATTCTGTCGTTGGCACATATTCTGTCTTTGTTTAATTTAAGGTTTAATTGTAGATATGAAAGAGACAAATATAATAAACCTATTTATATTATATAGTATAAATATTATGCAAAGCTACGTCCTGATTTCGAAAAAGTGCTACGCTTTTTGGCGCGTCTGTTGTATGGGATTGCTTCTCTAGTTATTAAACTCATTGTTGAAATAGGTTAAAAACAGACGATCATAGACAATTTAAGAGAACACTGGTAATGTTTAAAAGCACTTAGCGACATCTAGTTCGATTTCGAGAACTTCTTTTTACATAGTATTAATAGTCTGTCTGTCTATATGTGGGTTTGAAATGAAAAACTAAATTTATATATTATACCACTTTATTACACTAAAGTAAACAAAAGTTTTAAAGTTTCCGTAAAAAACTGTGGAATAAACACACATGTATACGTTACCTTATAATTATTCGAATTAAATAAATAGTATAATTAATTATACATAGAGTCCTTGCAATAAATAATGTATATAAAACACAGGGAGGCCTATGTTCAGCAGTGGACGTCTTCCGACTGATGACGAAGATGATGATGATAAAAAACAGTTGTTGTAGACTAACTCTATGGTGTGGTGAATAAGCGCCGCGGCCTACGCTAAACAATTTTATTAACTAAAATTATTATCTCTCGAGCCTGCGTGGAGGGTCATGGCCCGCCCTCCTTAACTTTCAATGAGGAAGTTAAGGTGGACGGGCCATTACGTGTGCTTCAATTTATTAAGAAATTGGCATTAAAGTTGAGTTGAGGGGCTCGCTACGTCACAACTATGTAGTAAACGTACAAAGGTGTGACGTCATGCGACAACTCAACTCAATGTGTCGCCATAAAAAATACGTATTTAATATTCATCAATAATCTACTATTCTGTTACAGTAACTTAATTCTTAAGCTAGTTGCACAAGTGTCCATTAGAACTGTCATTAATTTAAAATGGCATTACCGATACTAATTTTATATTCATTAGAGCTTAAACCTTAATGGACGTTTGTGCAACTGACCGATACTCTCAATTTTAAGTAAGTTCTTTAGTATAGTGGTAAAACAAAATCGGCAACGATATGTTTCATGAGAGACAGTCTGGTGAGACAGACACTGTCTAATTAATGAGGGTAAAACCCCATTACTAAGACTTCTTTGTCTGTCTGTCATGAACCGTGACCCTTAGACAGTTGAAATTTTGACTGATAATGTATTTTTGCTGCCGCTTCAACATCACCAGCCCTTTTACGTCCCCACTGCAGGGGCTCA